ATGCCACCCCACACCATGACTGACCCACCGCCAAACCGGTCATGCTGGAGGATGTTGCAAGCAGCAGAACGTTCTCCACGGCGTCTCCAGACTCTGTCACGTCTGTCACGTGCTCAGTGTGAACCTGCTTTCATCTGTGAAGATCACAGGGCGCCAGTGGCGAATTTGCCAATCTTGGTGTTCTCTGGCAAATGCCAAACGTCATGCACGGTGTTGGGCTGTAAGGACAACCCCCACTTGTGGACGTCGGGCCCTCATACCACCCTCATGGAGTCTGTTTCTGACCGTTTGAGCAGACACATGCACATTTGTGGCCTGCTGGAGGTCATTTTGCAGGGCTCTGGCAGTGCTCCTCCTTGCCCTCCTACGGCCTCCTCCATGTCTCCTGATGTACTGGCCTGTCTCCTGGTAGCGCCTCCATGCTCTGGACACTACGCTGACAGACACAGCAAACCTTCTTGCCACAGCTCGCATTGATGTGCCATCCTGGATGAGCTGCACTACCTGAGCCACTTGTGTGGGTTGTAGACTCCGTCTCATGCTACCACTAGAGTGAAAGCACCGCCAGCATTCAAAAGTGACCAAAACATCAGCCAGGAAGCATAGGAACTGAGAAGTGGTCTGTGGTCACCACCTGCAAAACCAGTGCTTTATTGGGGGTGTCTTGCTATTTGCCTATAATTTCCACCTGTTGTCTATTCCATTTGCACAACAGCATGTGAAATGTATTGTCAATCAGTGTTGCTTCCTAAGTGGACAGTTTGATTTCACAGAAGTGTGATTGACTTGGAGTTACATTGTGTTGTTTAAGTGTTCCCTTTATTTTTTTGAGCAGTGTATATATAGAATGTGAAATGTCAGAATAATAGTAGAGAGAATGATTTATTTCAGCTTTTATTTCTTTCATCACATTCCCAGTGGGTCAGAAGTTTACATACACTCAGTTAGTATTTGGTAGCATTGCCTTTAAATTGTTTAACTTGGGTCAAACGTTTCGGGTAGCCTTCCACAAGCTTCCCACAATAGGTTTGGTGAATTTTGTCCCATTCCTCCTGACAGAGCTGGTGTAACTGAGTCAGGTTCGTAGGCCTCCTTGCTCGCACATGCTTTTTCAGTTCTGTCCACAAATGTTCTATAGGATTGAGGTCAGGGCTTTGTGATGGCCACTCCAATACCTTGACTTTGTTGTCCTTAAGCCATTTTGGCACAACTTTGGAAGTATGCTTGTGGTCATTGTCCATTTGGAAGAACCATTTGCGACCAAGCTTTAACTTTCTGACTGATGTTTTGAGATGTTGCTTCAATATATCCACATAATTTTCCTTCCTCATGATGCCATCTATTTTGTGAAGTGCACCAGTCACTCCTGCAGCAAAGCACCCCCACAGCATGATGCTGCCACCCCCGTGCTTCACGGTTGGAATGGTGTTCTTCGGCTTGCAAGTGATCCCCATTTTCCTCCAAACATAACGATGGTCATTATGGCCAAACAGTTCTATTTTTGTTTCATCGGACTAGAGGACATTTCTCCAAAAAGTACGATCTTTGTCCCCATGTGTAGTTGCAAACCGTAGTCTGGCTTTTTTATGGCGGTTTTGGAGCAGTGGCTTCTTCCTTGCTGAGCGGCCTTTCAGGTTATGTCGATATAGGACTCGTTTTACTGTCGATATAGATACTTTTGTACCTGTTTCCTCCAGCATCTTCACAAGGTCCTTTGCTGTTGTTCTCGGATTGATTTGCACTTTTCGCACCAAAGTACGTTCATCTCTATGAGACAGAACGTGTCTCCTTCCTGAGCGGTATGACGGCTGTGTGGTCCCATGGGGTTTATACTTGCGTACCATTGTTTGTACAGATGAACGTGGTACCTTCAGGTGTTTGGAAATTGCTCCCAAGGATGAATCAGACTTGTGGAGGTCTACCATTTTTTGACTTGTGGAGGTCTTGGCTGATTTCTTTTGATTTTCCCATGATGTCAAGCAAAGTGGCACTGCGATGAAGGTAGGCCTTGAAATACATCCACAGGTACACCTCCAATTGACTCAAATGATGTCAATTAGCCTATCAGAAGCTTCTAAAGCCATGACATCATTTTCTGGAATTTTCCAAGCTGTTTAAAGGCACAGTCAACTTAGTGTATGTAAACTTCAGACCCACTGGAATTGTGATACAGTAAATTATAAGTGAATTAATCTGTCTGTAAACAATTGTGGGAAAAATAACTTGTGTCATGCACAAAGTAGATGTCCTAACCGACTTGCCAAAACTATAGTTTGTTAACAAGAAATTTGTGGAGTGGTTGAAAAACGAGTTCTAATGACTCCAACCTAAGTGTATGTATAATTCTGACTTCAACTGTATATATATATATCTATTGTCACGAACGTCTTCCAAATGAGTAGACCAAAGCGCAGCGCGTTGAGCGAACATGACTTTATTAATTCAAAGTCTGGAACAAAACAACAAAACAAGAACGATTCGTGAAGTCCTCTGCTATACTGACAGAACATGGAACAAAAACCCACAACACCCAAAGGAACACATACAGATAAATATGGCTCCCAATCAGAGATAACGAGCCGACAGCTGACACTCGTTACCTCCGATTGGGAGTCACATGACTACACAAGAACTAACCAAAACCACACACACCCAAATGAACACACCCTATTCCCAACCTAACCAAAACAAACCCCAACAAAACGAATACACCCTGGCTCAAATACAAGTCCCGGAGCCAGAGTGTGACATCTATTTCCTAATTAATAACATATCAATGTAATACTATACATGGGTATTCTGGCATAATAATTTGTTTGTAGGAGAGGAGGTTGTTTAAGGTTGGCAAGTAAAAAAAAAAAATGTAGCACATAGAAATATACAAGGTTCATTAGTGTAACAGATGAGGTACACTACCGGTCAAAAGTTTTAGAACACATAATCATTCAAGGGTTTTTCTTTATTTCTACTATTTTCTACATTGTAGAATAATATTGAAAATATCACAACTGTGAAATAACACATATGGAATCATGTAGTAACCACAAAAGTGTTAAACAAATCAAAATATATTTTATATTTGAGATTCTTCAAATAGCCACCCTTTGCCTTGATGACAGCTTTGCACACCCTTGGCATTCTTTCAACCAGCTTCATGAGGTAGTCACCTGGAATGCATTTCAACTTTAAGACATGAAGGTCAGTCAATGCAGAACATTTCAAGAACTTTGAATGTTTCTTCATGTGCAGTCGCAAAAACCATCAAGCGCTATGATGAAACTGGCTCTCATGAGGACCGCCACAGGAATGGAAGACCCAGAGTTACCTCTGCTGCAGAGGTTAAATTCATTAGAGTTACCAGACTCAGAAATTGCAGCCCAAATAAATGCTTCACAGAGTTCAAGTAACAGACACATCTCAACATCAACTGTTCAGAGGAGACTGGTCCTCTGTAGCTCAGCTGGTAGAGCACGGCGCTTGTAACGCCAAGGTAGTGGGTTCGAACCCTGGGACCACCCATACACAAAAAAAAAAATGCACGCATGACTGTAAGTCGCTTTGGATAAAAGCGTCTGCTAAATGGCATATTATTATTATTATATTACTGTGTGAATCAGGCCTTCATGGTCGAATTGCTGCAAAGAAACCACTTCTAAAGGACACCAATAAGAAGAAGAGACTTGCTTGGGCCAAGAAACACGAGCAATGGACATTAGACCGGTGGTAATTAGTCCTTTGATCTGGAGTCCAAATTTGAGATTTTTGGTTCCAACCGCCGTGTCTTTGTGAGACGCGGTGTGGGTGAACGGATGATCTCTGCATGTGTATTTCCCACCGTAAAGCATGGAGGAGGAGGTGTTATGGTGTGGGGGTGCTTTGCTGGTGACTCTGTTTGTGATTTATTTAGAATTCAACGCACACAACCAGCATGGCTACTACAGCATTCTGCAGTGATACGCCATCCCATCTGGTTTGGGCTTAGTGGGACTATCATTTGTTTTTCAACAGGACAATGACCCAACACACCTCCAGGCTGTGTAAGGGCTATTTTACCAAGAAGGAGAGGGATGGAGTGCTGCATCAGATGACTTGGCCTCCACAATCCCCCGACCTCAACCAAATTGAGATGGTTTGGGATGAGTCGGACCGCAGAGTGAAGGAAAAGCAGCCAACAAGTGCTCAGCATATTTGGGAACTCCTTCAAGACTGTTGTAAAAGCATTACAGGTGAAGCTGGTTGAGAGAATGCCAAGAGTGTGCAAAGCTGTCATCAAGGCAAAGGATGGCTATTTGAAGAATCTCAAATATAAAATACATTTTGATATGTTTAACACTTTTTTGGTTACTACATGATTCCATTTGTGTTATTTCATAGTTTTGATGTCTTCACTATTATTCTACAATGTAGAAAATAGTAAAAATAAAGAAAAAACGTTGTTCTAAAACTTTTGACCGGTGGTGTATATGAAAGGGTTCTTGAGTAGGCTATCAAATGGTAAACAAAATAACAATCCAAGAGGAAATGTAAACAATAACAGAGACAACAGAGATAAAACACCTCTGAATATTCAAGAGCAGGTGTAAACATTTGTAGCATGATTTACATTTTTACATTTTAGTCATTTAGCAGACGCTCTTATCCAGAACGACTTACAGTTAGTGAGTACATACATTTTCATACTTTTTCATACTGATGCATCTGTAATGTCATCCATTTGTTTTTGTTTGTGTTGACTTTGCCGTACTGGATCTGCCGTTCAGTCTGGTCAGTTCTTTAATAGAAAATTATATTTTGTTATGTTTTTAACAAGTTCAGGTAGTCCCTCCTTTTTCAGTCCGTTTTCTTCCATTTGGTGCCAATTTTTTTACATTTTAGTTATTTTGCTGACATTTTTATCCAAAGCAACTTACAGGAGCAATTATAGTTAAGTGCCATGCTCAAGGGCATATCAGATGTTTACCTAGTCGGCTAGGAGATTTCGGTTACTGGCCCAACACTCTTAACCGCTAGGCTACCTGCCGCCATAATGAATACGACCCAGACTTTCATGGTATCCCTGCATAGACCAACCCGGCAGTCCGGCACCCTGATGGTCGAGGTTCTATGATGTCATCAACACTAAACGCCACTGCTCTCCTCCATGGCCAGCATCTCATCCTGCTCCCCTGCGATCCTGGGGGGTTTCTGTTGTCCCTTGATGATGACATGGTCACACACAGTGAGTCTAGGTTCATGTGGCCGTGCCTGGCGCAGGTCACTGGACGGAGTGGTCATCCCTGTAGGATTCTGAGAGGAAGGACATGTTCAAAACACTGAAGAAACACCACAATTCACACATTCCTGCACACACCCACACGCACACACACACACACACACACACACACACACACACACACACACACACACACACACACACACACACACACACACACACACACACACAGATATTAAAATGTATACACACACACCTCCCCCCACCCACCCCTAAACCAACACACAGCTATGAGTAGACACCCAGTTGGTGCCTGGTGGGTGATGATGGAGTGACGCTAGGTGAGGTATAGACACTCACCCTCCACAGACACAGCAGAATGTAGACAGGGATACACATCAGGGGGGTGAGGATGAGGAGACAGGCCACTCGGGAGGCCCAGGGCCCAGGTACGTAGTCTAGATTTAGATTGATTGATGAACTGGTCAGTGTGTCATACGCCAGGGTGATCTGAGGAGAACCAGGAAGAGTTGGAGGTGAAGTTTAGCCTTGGATACTGTCGACTTAAACCTGATTCCCACTATAGGGCCAGCCTGAACTGTACTGTCCTGGCTTGAAAATTGTATTTTCACATTGTGCTCATTGTGCTTTACAGCATAGCTCCAGCAACTGGGTGATGCGTACCCAGGCCATTCCAGTACGGCTCGGCATGGCTCGGCTTAGTTTGGCTCGATAGTGTGAAAAGGGTATTAGAAAGATAGTGATCAACAAATGTAAGTTGCTATTCATTTGTGGATAGAAGGAATGTATGGGTGTTTTGATGCAAAGTTAGAAGAAAGAGGGAGGGAGAGAGAGACCACGAGGGAGAGTGAGACCACAAGGGAGAGTGAGATCACGAGGGAGAGACAGACCACGGGGGAGAGAGAGACCATGAGGGAAAGAGAGACCACAAGGGAGAGACAGACCACGATGGAGAGAGAGACCACAAGGGACAGACCACGAGGGAGAGAGAGACCACGAAGGAGAGACAGACCATGAGGGAACAGAGACCACGAGGGAGAGAGAGACCAGGAGGGAGAGAGAGACCACGAGGGAGAGACCACGAGGGAGAGAGAGATCACGAGGGAGAGACAGACCACAAGGGAGAAAGTGACTACGAGGGAGAGAGAGACTACGAGGGAGAGACAGACCACGAGGGACAGACAGGAAACATTAAGATAAAGACAGATGCAGAGAGAAACAGTGAGAGAGAGAGATTATAACACTGTACATAGCCATAATATGATATTTGACATGTCTATTCCTTTGAAACTTGTGAGTGTAATGTTTACTGTTAATTTTTAATTACACTTTGGATGGTGTATTTTTGATTGTTTATTTCACTTTTGTTTATTATCTATTTCACTTGCTTTGGCAATGTAAACATTGTTTCCCATGCCAATAAAGCCCTTTGAATTTAGTTGAATTGAGAGAGAGAGAGAGAGGGAGGGAGAGAGAGGGGGAGGGAGAGAGAGAGAGAGGGAGAGAGAGAGAGAGAGAGAGAGAGAGAGAGAGAGGGAGGGAGAGAGGGGGAGGAAGAGAGAGAGGGAGAGAGGGGAGGGAGAGAGAGAGAGAGAGAGAGAGAGAGAGAGAGAGAGAGCAAAGAGGTGCAAGAAAGCAGGGGAGAGATGAAGAAAGAAAGAGAACAACATGAGCATAAAGAAAGACGCAGAGAGAAAGAGAGAGAGAGAGAGAGAGAGAGAGAGAGAGAGAGAGAGAGAGAGAGAGGCAGTACAGGTGTCTGTCTTACTCACCCCACAGATGAGTGGTGTCACAAACAACCAGCAGTACTTCAGCACCGAAGGGAAAGGATGGTAGCCTATCATGTCTTCAATGTTGTCAAGGAAACGGTTCGCACCTGCAAGCCAATCCATCCACACTTAATTTTTTAGTCGAGATCCATCTCTTCGTTTTGATAGAAACACTCACATGGGTCCCCCCTCGAAAACATGTTGAGACACAGTGGTCTACTATGTGTCCCCACTTCCCTTCCCTTGTAGATTGGCAATGGAACTTCAATTTAGACTTAATGTTACTGTGAATGTATGGAAAACTTTATGGACAGAGATGGACATTGTTGTTACTGGTTGTGACTGTCCTTAGACCCATTGTAGTCCTGGACTAAAAAGCCCAATGGAGAATATTCCTATAAATAGCATTTTGGTCCAGGACTTTATCTGGGTCCAGGAAACTGGCCCTTAGAGTATAGATTCACTTTAACGATTAAAATAATACACAAATATTTGTCACATGCGCCGAATACAACAGGTGAAATGCTTACTCACAAGCCCTTAATCAAAAATGAAGTTCAAAAAATAGAGTTAAGAAAATATTTACTAAATAAAATAAAGTAAAAAATACAATAAAAAGTAACACAATAAAATAACAATAACGAGGCTATATACAGGGGGTACCGGTACCGAGTCAATGTGCGGGGGTACAGGTTAGTCGAGGTAATTTGTACAAAGTGACTATGCATAGATAATAAACAGCGAGTAGCAGCAGTGTAAAAACAAAAGGGTTAAATAGTCAAATAGTCCGGGTGGCCATTTGATTAATTGTTCAGCAGTCTTATGGCTTCGGGGTAGAAGCTGTGAAGGAGCCTTTTGGACCTAGACTTGGCGCTCCGGTACCGCTTGCCGTGCGCTAACAGAGAGAACAGTCTATGACTTGGGTGACTGGAGTGACTGGAGTCTTAGAACAGTTACTACAGTAAACATAGTCGGTACAATCATGTTAGTAGTGACGTCACTCACCGTAGACCCAGGCGACGGCGATGCACTCAAAACAGGCAATGAACAGCAGACTGGTCCCACTGGGACCGTACGAGTCAATCAACTGAAAGAGGACTATCCCATTCTGATGGACGGACAGATGGACATGGATGTCAGAGGTAAACTTTGAACTTTTTCATCAGATTTGATGTTCCTATTGCTATTGAAGAGTTTACTCTCCCTCCCTCCATCTCTATTTTTCTCTGTCTCCCACCCTCTATATCTCTGTCTTCTACCACTCCCTATCTCCTTCCATCTTCCCCTCCTCTCTCCTACCTCAGTGATGAGAGGCAGGCCCAGTAGGAAGCAGACTACAGCGATGACTAGTACTAAGATCTCTCTCCGGCCAGGCCTCCGCAGTACACCAGGGAACATGTCAGTGATGGATGTGGCCAAGCTCTCTACACACACAAACTGGGAGGGAACACACACAACATGTTTACAACACACACATGCACAAAGATGTATCCTGTCAACTGAAAATGACACATTAACTGATTTAAGCTTAATAAACAAAATACAACTCTATCAAACACACACTTGCACTGTTGCACACACACAGACACATAGACACACACACGCACACACATACACACACACACACACACACACATACACACACACACACACACATACACACACACACATACATACACACACATACACACACACACACCAACATGTACCTGTACAGTACCTGGCTGTCCAGGCCCAGTAAGATGACCATAAGAAAGAAGAGGACAGCCCAGAACTGGGCCCCTGGTAGCAGGGACACGGCTTTGGGATAGGCGATGAAAGCTAGACCAGGTCCTGTAGGAAACAGCCCAGACACACACACACACACACACACATTCTTTTATTAGTCTTTGCAGGTAAATATCACTGGACTGAGAAATACAGTATGGAATTGCTGTTGATGTGTTGGTTTAATGCTGTGTGGAGGAGACCAGTTGAGATAGAGGTTTTATGGTAAATATGGTGCACTGGGCTAAAGTGCCCTCTTGTGGCCATTATTGGTTACGACCGTGAGCAGTATCGTACCTATAGCACAGGTTTCTCTGTCTCTACTGGGAGAGATACTGGGAGTGTTGGCTCTTGTTCCACCCCAGCACTAACATACTTATTTCACATCAACTAATTATAGTCTTCAGTTCTGGACCACAATTTGTTTGATCAAATATGTCTGTGCTGGGCTGGAACAAACACTTGCACACCCAGTACATCTTTAGGACCGGAGTTGGAGAACCGAGCTTCACACAATATCTAACAGAAATGAATGAATGTCATTCTATATCAACTTGACCGCTGCAGTGAGGAATGTGAGAAAGGGATGAAGACGAGGAAGGAGGAGAAAGAAGAGGGGGATGTGGAGGAAAGGGGCCTGCCTCCTTTAACGACTTCATTCATGTCCACGTTGAGTGAGTGAGCCATGAATCCCAGTACGGAGAAGACGGCAAATCCAGCGAAGATGCTGGTGGCACTGTTGAGAATGCAGAGTGCCACGCAATCCCTGGAACACAACAAGGTGTGTCAAGTCACAATCATACAGTCGTGGTCAAGTTTTGAGAATGACACAAATATTAATTTTCACAAAGTCTGCTGCCTCAGTTTTTATGATGGCAATTTGCATATACTCCAGAATGTTATGAAGAGTGATCAGATGAATTGCAATTAATTTGCCATGAAAATGAACTTAATCCCAAAAAAACATTTCCACTGCATTTTAGCCTTGCCACAAAAGGACCAGCTGACATCATGTCAGTGATTCTATTGTTAACACAGGTGAGAGTGTTGACGAGGACAAGGCTGGAGATCACTCTGTCATGCTGATTGAGTTAGAATAACAGACTGGAAGCTTTAAAAGGAGGGTGGTGCTTGAAATAATTGTTCTTCCTCTGTTAACCATGGTTACCTGCAAGGAAACACGTGCCGTCATCATTGCTTTGCACAAAAAGGGCTTCACAGGCAAGGATATTGCTGCTAGTAAGATTGCACCTAAATCAACCATTTATCGGATCATCAAGAACTTCAAGGAGAGAGGTTAAATTGTTGTGAAGAAGGCTTCAGGGCGCCCAAGAAAGTCCAGCAAGCGCCAGGACCGTCTCCTAAAGTTGATTCAGCTGCAGGATCGGGGCACCACCAGTGCAGAGCTTGCTCAGGAATGGCAGCAGGCAGGTGTGAGTGCATCTGGACGCACAGTGAGGCAAAGTCTTTTGGAGGATGGCCTGGTGTCAAGAAGGGCAGCGAGGAAGCCACTTCTCTCCAGGAAAAAACATCAGGGACAGACTGATATTCTGCAAAAGGTACAGGGATTGGACTGCTGAGGACTGGGGTAAAGTCATTTTCTCTGATGAATCCCCTTTCCGATTGTTTGGGGTATCCGGAAAAAAGCTTGTCCGGAGAAGACAAGGTGAGCGCTACCATCAGTCCTGTGTCATGCCAACAGCAAAGCATCCTGAGACCATTCATGTGTGGGGTTGCTTCTCAGCCAAGGGAGTGGGCTCACTCATAATTTTGCCTAAGAACACAGCCATGAATAAAGAATGGTACCAACACATCCTCCGAGAGCAAGCTCTCCCAACCATTCAAGAACAGTTTAGTGATGAACAATGCCTTTTCCAGCATGATGGAGCACCTTGCCATAAGGCAAAAGCGATAACTAAGTGGCTCCGGGAACAAAACATCGACATTTTGGGTCCATGGCCAGGAAACTCCCCAGACCTTAATCCCATTGAGAACTTGTGGTCAATCCTCAAGAGGCGGGTGGACAAACAAAAACCCACAAATTCTGACAAACTCCAAGCATTGATTATGCAAGAATGGACTGCCATCAGTCAGGATGTGGCCCAGAAGTTAATTGACAGCATGCCAGGGTGGATTGCAGAGGTCTTGAAAAACACTGCAAATATTGACTCTTTGCATAAACTTAATGTAATTGTCAATAAAAGCCTTTGACACTTATGGAATGCTTGTAATTATACTTCAGTATTCCATTGTAACATTTGACAAAAATATCTAAAAACACTGAAGCAGCAAACTTTGTGAAGAACAATACTTGTGTCATTCTCAAAACTTTTGACCACGACTGTACAGTGTTTGCTTATTCCACCTCACATGAGAACAATGAACGAATTATCAATTTACATTTACCAGTGTCATTTTAGCTATATTAGCTCGAACGAAACAGTTGAAGGTATTTGAGGTGCGCTTGATTTAGCATGTTTGCACTTTTGGGACTATTCCATTGGTTCTATTGTACACAGCAAACTACATCAAGCACAGCTCAAGTGTTGGAAAACATGTGGCATAATTATGTGTTTGACCCAGGTCTGGGTGATCCAACTCAAATAACGACAATAGGGACCTAGCATGCCACTCTAAATCAATGTGAGAGGATAGAGGGACCTAGCATGCTACTCTAAATCAATGTGAGAGGATAGAGGGACCTAGCATGCTACTCTAAATCAATGTGAGAGGATAGAGGGACCTAGCATGCTACTCTAAATCAATGTGAGAGGATAGAGGGACCTAGCATGCTACTCTAAATCAATGTGAGAGGATAGAGGGACCTAGCATGCTACTCTAAATCAATGTGAGAGGATAGAATGACCTAGCATGCTACTCTAAATCAATGTGAGAGGATAGAGGGACCTAGCATGCTACTCTAAATCAATGTGAGAGGATAGAAGGACCTAGCATGCTACTCTAAATCAATGTGAGAGGATAGAAGGACCTAGTATGCTACTCTAAATCAATGTGAGAGGATAGAGGGACCTAGTATGCTACTCTAAATCAATGTGAGAGGATACCGTTTTGAAAGAAAAGCTGTGTGCAGTTTTGCACTTTTGAGACTATTCCATTGGTTCTTATCGTAAAGCGTAAACTAAATCAAGCACAGCTGAAGTATTTGAAAATATTTGACGTATTTAATCATTCAAATAGAGTTTTGACAGGAAAGCTGTGTGCTGTGATGTGTGACACTGACTTGTAACAGTCATTGTTGTACTTGTTGTAGCTGCCCAGAGAGGTGAGGACACCCTGACACACAGCGTAGGAGAAAAACACCTGGGTCCCTGCATCACGCCACACCTAGAGAGAGAGGGAGAGGGGGGAGAGGGATGGAGGGATGGAGTTAGAGAGAGTGAGAGGGATGGATGGAGGGAGGGAGAGGGATGGAGGAACGGAGGAGAGAGAGAGAGTGGGGTAGGTATTGAGGAAGGGAGAAGAGAGAGAGAGGCAAGGAGAGAGGGAGAGAGAGGGGGAGGTATGCAGGGAAAGAGAGGGGGAGAGAGAGAGATGGAGGGAGGAGAGAGGAGAGGGAAGGAGGGACATAGGAAAGAGAGTGAGAGGGATGGAGGAAGGAGAGAGGAGAGGGAAGGAGGGAGGTAGGAAAGAGAGTGAGAGGGATGGAGATAGGGAGGAGAGAAAGAGGGGGGCAGAGTACAGGATAAAAGAATTCCCAGTTTACTGCCACATGTTCAGCTACTTTCACACCATTAAAGAAAACAAAAAACTGTCAAACCCATGTGGTTGTCATCAAATGCATCATGTAGAGCCATAAAACATAGGATAAATTGCTCTGTCAAGGCTGACAACAATCAACTACAACCTGTGTAACATCAGGTTTGTCTAATGCCAATAATCAGGGCTCTCTTCTGTCTTTCTCAGGCCAACACCCATCTGTGTGTCCGTTTATGTGCGCGTGTGTGTGTGCATGCGTGGCTGCCTGTGTCTGCTTGCACTTCCTATGTGTGTGTGTTGACAGCATCAACCCCATCAGCAGACCCTCAGCAGACCCAGTCATAGCAGCATCTGGTTAGCGTTAGCAGGAGGGCGATTGGGCCTGGGAGGCCTGCAGTCTGCCCAATTACCCAGTCCATTATCCATCCAGTATACACCACATACTATCACAGCCAGCTGGGATGGGCCCCTTCATTTCTCCTTTCTCTGTCCATACACAGACCCCTAAACCTCTTCTCTCTGTCTATACACAGACCCCTAAACATCTTCTCTCTGTCTATACACAGACCCCTAAACATCTTCTCTCTGTCTATACACAGACCCCTAAACATCTTCTCTCTGTCTATACACAGACCCCTAAACCTCTTCTCTCTGTCTATACACAGACCCCTAAACCTCTTCTCTCTGTCTATACACAGGCCCCTAAACCTATTCTATCTGTCTATACACAGACCACTAAACTAGTACACAACCCTCATTCCAGACTTCTTCTCCAAATCCAAAATAAAACACATTGCATGCTAGCGAACACACGTTTTTTCCCGGGTCTGTTCTTCAGCTGTGCCGGGACACAGGGTTACATAACCGATCATCAACCGGACCCTGAAGTGTATTTATTTGGCCATCGTTCCAGTCGAAGTCGCTAAGGATTCCCACGCCAGCGCCCCCGTCCTCTCAATCCTCCCCCAGGTCTGTAATTGCTTAAGCGACTTTTCTCACACACTACACCTGTGATCTTGAAGTTGTTGGGTTGGTGACTATCCTTTTTTCCGCAGATGATACGACACATCTTTCTTGGCGCATGTTTGCTGGGATACTTAGAAAGATGCTGTTGTACAGTCATTTAGTTGTTTGAGAATCAGTGCTTTAGCCATAAAGTTAATTAACATAATATTATTCCTCCTCCCCAATGTTGGCGTCTTGCTCTCACTACGGATAAACAGCACGTTTCCTTTTAAAATAGACTGGTTGAAATATGATACAAAGAAACAAACTCACAACAGCTCATGACACTGCCCAAATACCCAGCAGGCTTCACTTTACCGCAGTCAACACCCTTTTTGAGCCTCCTCCCAATCCGACGAGCCCCACACAACAGGAAGCAAAGTTGGAGGATAGTTGACCCCTGAAACGAGGCTTGACCTCTCCGGGGACCGCGACACCGGACCCCAGAAGCCATCATGTCACATGCCAAGCTGTACTAAGGTAATCCATACCAAATAATGTCTATTTTGTGGGACTCTCTGGCACCTGGAGAAATCGTCTGGATGCCCGAGTGTTTGAGCGTTGCCATTGACGCTTGTGAGACTTCTATCATTGGACTACGACCAAAGAGTATCTTAAATGAATGAGTGGGGAAAATACAAAACTGACCCAAGATCAGCTTCTAGGGGCAACTCCATCCTGCTCCGGGAGGATGGTGTTATTGTTACTGTGTGTTGATGTTATGGTGTGTTGGGGTTACTGCTTAACTTTAAAGGGTCTTGGTTTGCTTTTCTTGCTAAGACCCCAGTTCCGCTTTGGCATTGTGAGCAGAGGAAGAGAGAGAGCCACTGCTAGAGAACATAGTAGAGGAAACAGCGTCTACCATCTTCACTCCCTACGCCAAAGAACGAAAAGCTTCAAATTCCCTAAAAGCCCCCTGCTCCTTTCCTCCATCAGCCCGCCTACACATCGGAAGCCGAAGAAATATTTCCTCCACTACCAGCAAAGGCCGCCAATGCACAGCCACAGCCCCGACGAGCAGCGTAACTATTCGACCCCAAGCCAAGAACAACGACACCCGCCAGGAGAACAACACAAAAACCGAGACCAGGGAACCACACAGAAAACCCAACAGCATCCCCACACAGACCGGAAATATAACAAGACTTAAAACTAGAGGGACAACGAGCTTGCGTTCGGATACCATATTCAGGGTCCCAAACAGGGCGACACCCAACCGATTAAAAGAAACACGACATTACCCACTAAGGGCCACGGCCCAAAAGGCCCGCACCACGACCCAACCCCGAGACACGACCACGACGTCCCACACCAGAGTACGACCAGAAGACTCCGAAGGACCCGACAACAGTACGCCCGAGAACACGACCGCCACAGGAACTCCAGACAACGACCCCTACGACCAACCCCACACACCCCTACCATCGACGACAAAACAGCACAGCCCACACATACCGCGACAAAGACCGACAACGCCCACGACCAGGACGCCTACACCGGACACGGAAGCCGACACCAGACACCCCGGACAGAGAGCCACACGACCTCACACCAGATACCCCACACCAGCGACCCCACAAACGGAAACCCCCACCCCGGCGCCCCACGGGCCGAAATCCAGACATCGCAACCGAGCTAGCAACCCAAAGCACTGAAGCCAACCATGCCTACGACGCAAAAAAAGAAATCAAAAAAGCAAAGGGAAGAAACAAAAAAACTCAACCCACTTTGAATAGGGACGGGGATCTAAACATTGACCCACGAATTCCGTTACACGAACCTACGAAAGGAAGACGACAACGGGAAAAACAGAGGGAGCCCCCGGGGACGAAAGCCCACAGGACCCCCGACGACCACACCCACGCACGGGGCCACACCATCGGGGCCGACACAAAGGGCCCCAAAAACCGGGGCCCAAACGGGAGCCCGACGCATAACGCCCGAGACGGGGGGCGACCAAAAACGCAGAATAAGCGGGAAAAAAAAGGGGCCCCCCAAGAGGGGAAAAAGGGAGCCGACAAAGGGCCCGGGACAAGCGGACGCCGACGACCAGGGCGCCCAGAAAGCGCCCCCACGACCAGCCAACGGGACCCGAACCAGCAGGGCCCAAACGACGACCAGCGGTACGCCCGACGACCAGCGGAGCCACGACCAGCGTGAGAGCCACACAAGCGTGACCCCACACCAACGGGAAGCCCGACGACCAGCGGGACGCCCGACGACCAGTCAGGCACGCCCTACACCATGCGGGGCCCGACGAACCCGGGGAGCAAGCCCACGACCAGCGGGACCCCGACGACCAGCGGGACGCCCGACGCCCAAAGCGGCGCGCCACGACCAGAGCGCGACAGCCCCGACGACCGAAGCGGGCCCCCGACTACCAGCGGGCGCCAACGACAAGGACGGGACGACCGACGAAACAGCGTGCCCAGACCACTGACCCCAACAGCGGCACGCACTAACGACGCCGACACAGCTCGCACTACGACCATCGTACCCACGACCAAGCGTTACGCCTACACGTACGACCATGACGTTACAAGAGGGAAGACGAAGAACGGAGGGACGAACGAAGAACAAGCGGGAGAACGGAAGAACAGACCCTTTCCTCCCTACTACCATCTTCACTCCCTACTACCATCTTTCCTCCCTACTACCATCTTTACTCCCTACTACCATCTTCACCCCATACTACCATCTTTACTCCCTACTACCATCTTTACTCCCTACTACCCTCTTTATTCCCTACAACTAACAGTTCTGTCCTAGTCAAAACTAAGTTCTTACGCATTGTTATTATACCAGGTCTTCCCCCGTGTCCCATCAGTCTTACCCCAGGTTCCAAGATCTTGTCCATTTGAGGCCAAAGATAGTACTTTAGGCCCTCCCCAGCCCCTGGTAGAGTCACACCCCGGATAAACAGGATGAAGAGCATCAGGTAGGGGAACGTTGCTGTGAAGTACACCACCTGTGGTCACACATGAAGATACACTTGAGCAGACAGACACACAGACACACAAAGAGATTGTACATACTGAAACACGGAGGGACTATCTGGACTTGGCCAACAAGAAACACTCATTTTAGTTTTCCCTTGCAACACGTTTTGCTGCGGTGTGCCCTAATGAATTTGATCCTGTTGTTTTGGTCTGTATGGGCTCACCTTGCCTGTAGATTTGACTCCCTTCCAGATGCAGAAGTAGCAGATGATCCAGGCCAGCAGCAGACAGAGAGCCAGGTCCCAATGCACAGCTCCCAGAGACACATTATCTGACGTCCTCAACACCCGACGACTGGGGAACACCACACACACACATATGCAAGCACACACACACACACACACACACACACACATAAACACATACACACACACACACACACACACACACACACATGAATGCACACACACTTAAATGCACACACACACACCAGGCAGTAAGATGCTCAGAACCAGGGCGTGCTGCTTAGACCATTGCACCACGGCAGTTCACAAATGTCTAGCAAGAAGGGAGAGTACTTGATGATAATAAATGGAAACAGCCCATGTTTTAAAATTATTATTTCGTTTTATGCTTTCCCCAAACCGTAGCCCTAACCTTAACCATTTGGAATCAATACCTAAACTTAACCCTTTGAGTTGTTTTGGGTTTAACCCTGTAGCCACGCGGAATTAACCCAGTAACCACAAGGAATTAATGGGTCACAAATCGACGTTCATCCAATTAGGTCAAAGCCCGAAGTGAAACTATGAGATCAAGTTGCACGCACACACACACATACACACACACACACACACAAACACACACACACACACACACACACACACACACACACAAACAGAGTAAGGTTAGACACCCTACCATGACCCTCTATGTACTACATACCATCTTAGACAAGGTGTTTTATTTCAGAGATCCTCTCCCCACACAAATCTAACCTATACAAATTCACAGTGACAGCCGACCCGACATAAAAACATGTTATTTTTCCAACTTTATAGTCTCCATATGGAGTCTCTGCACGAATACAGAGATAAAATAGCATCAGCATGATACATACAGATGTTCCATTTCACCCAGTTTAGTTTAGAGGGCTTTAGTTTAGACTTTGAAACCCGAAGAAAGGACACATATTGTTCTCATTTAGAAGAAAATGCTTTAGAGTGCTGTTCTCAACCCATTTCCCAATCCTGCACAACTTGGATACACCATCAGGAATGTATCATGTGGGAAGAACCATGGCCTTTTACGAAATCACCTACATTTAAGACTAGTCTAAAAAAACAACAACACGGAACTTGAACCCAAAGGAATCCATATTGAGCGCTGTAATTGGTCATTTTATGGTTTTCTCCAGGCAGTAATTGGCTAATTTCCCTTACCCTGTGTTCTACTGGGCTGCTGGGCCGTTGGGCGGGCCCTATATTGTCTGTCAGCATGACTCATCATCATCACTATCAGTATCACTCCACACCCCACTGATAAAGAAGATCCACGCTGTCGGTGTAGCTTTAGTCATGGGATCATTGAGGAATGCTCTGTTGATGATGATGCCTTCTACCAAGAGACCTCAGCAGTTTTATCTACACTGTAGGAGTGTAGCAATGTAGGACTGTAGTAGCCTATGTGTGGGAAGTCTGTGAACCCCTGATCAGTATGTGTGTGTGTGTATTTCAGAGGTTATCATTGGTTTCAAACTTACGCCCAAAACTCCTCCTCGGGAGACGTGATATACATGGTTTCCTTACTGAAAGCGAAAGAGGGGGTAAACAAATGAATAAGCAGTGAGAAATAGCTAAAGGAACCATATGATGTACAATACAGTAATCTCAATGTATGCATGACTGTACCTCATCAACACCCAGTGTATCTGATATCTTCAAAGTACAATAAGGAGGCCTACCTGAACGTGTAGTAGTCATTATAGTCAGTCTGATTGTGAAGGAAGGACCAGTCTGAGTCCAACTGGGAGAGGTGTGGGTTTAAGAACATGGTGCTAAAATTGTGGCAGTTCTCTGTGAGAATGTTAGAGCGAGAGAGAGAGACAGAGAGAGAGAGAGAGAGAGAGAGAGAGAGAGAGAGAGAGAGAGAGAGAGAGAGAGAGAGAGAGAGAAGAGACAGAGAGAGAGAGAGAGAGAGAGAGAGAGAGAGAGAGCGAGAGAGCGAGAGAGCGAGCGAGAGAGCGAGAGAGCGAGCGAGAGAGCGAGAGAGCGAGAGAGCGAGCGAGAGAGAGAGAATTAGTGAGTGAGTGAGTATGTGGGCGTAAGTAGGTACGTGCACATGTGTATCTATGTGTCTGTGTGTGTCTGTGTGTGTGTCTGTGTCTATGTATGTGTGTGTCTGTGTGTGTATGTCTCTGTGTGTGTGTCTGTGTTGAGTTCCTGTACCAGTATTCCACTCGTTGTCACAGGTGGACCAGGGCAGTGGATTCCTGAAGGAGTTGAATAGGTAGAACAGACCCCAGGCTAGCACCACTATGTAATAGATGTTCAAGTACGCCACAATCACTTGGGATGCAATTCCCACTCCTGCAGATGGAAAAGTAAAGTCAGGTTAACACTTGATAAGGTGACCGTTCTTTAAATAACTTAGTAACTTAGCACAGTGGTCAAACCATGGATCTGGAACCATGGAACTACAGGGTGTGCAGGCTTTTGGTCCAGCCCAGCACTACAATACCTGAATAAACAAACATCTAATTGAGACTGATAAGTTGAATCGCGAGTGTTAGTACTGGGCTGGAACAAAAGCCTGCTTACTACCTAGCAAATTACTGTTAGATTTGGAAAATGACAGTCTAATATATTTGTTTTTAATCAATGTCTTTGTATACAGCAGCATCTCATGAATTTAGCCTGAAACAACACCTTTGAATCCCTGTCTTGACTGTCATAGGGCCCGTTTCCCGGACACAGATAATGGATAGTCCTGCACTAAAAAGCCATGTTAACAGTTAAATGTAACTAAATGTAATCTACGTAATCTCCAAAAGTAATTATTTATCATGACAGGGCCATAAACAGTAACTAGTAATGCTGCACACTCCAAGAAAGGTTAAAATCTCACCTTTCTGGTAAAAATAGTTATAAATTGCTGAGGTGTAGTCACTTTTGAAGACACAAGCTCAAGTACACAGTACAAATATTATACAAATATAAAAATATGAAATATCTTATATTATGTATTTCCTATTCAACAAAACTGTATGAATAAGGCTTGAAATGACATATGCTTTCTAAATATAGTATAATCTAATTATAAAACGACTAACTATAAGATTTCACCTTCCTCATAACTGTAAAATACCTATTTGTATGTTTAGTGTTAGAGAAAATGTGCATATTTTCTAAAGGTCTCTCTTGATCAAAACGTCTGCCCCCATCGCTGTGAACATCTCACTGAGCTCTAGCTTGGCTTCCTGAACTCATTAGGAACTCGCCTTTCATCTCATATTATTCTTCCAGGCATATGCGTTGTTAGTGGCTGTGATGTAGGGTTCAGCCAGGAGTTGATGGACAGTCGGAATAGCGAATGAAATGGTAGGAGGGTCACCCCAGCTTCAAGTGGTGTCAGATTTCACATCCTGTTTCACACAGGTAAAAGAGACATACTCCTGTGTCTTTGAGAATCAGGGCTACTGCTCAATGCAAGCCATTTCGACCTATGGTGTCCACAGATCGATTTATAAGTGAAAATGTCCGTTGGAAACAGTACCAGAACCACGCAGGTCTCCAAAACAGGGGACTTTACATCTATTAATAATGAAGACTACTACAAGCTCTCACAGTCTTACGTCAGAATTAGACTTTCATCCATGTTTTTCAAAAGTCAAATTTCGAAGTTGTTCCAAACGTCAAATGTCGAAGTGTTTAAGGTTAAGTTTAGGCATTAACTTCACATTTTAAGGTTAGGGTTAGGTTTAGGCATTAACTCCGAATTCTTAAGGTTAGGCATTAACTCCGAATGGTTAAGGTTAGGGTTAAGGTTTGGGTTAGGCTTAAAACAAAAATATGAAATACCACTTTCTATGACTGGATTGGAACATGCACCTTTTGGAACCAGAGGCAGATGCTTATGCCCATCCACCATCCCCGTAGACAAACGCCCTAGCAAAACTAGCAAAACCAGCAAAACCGAAACCTACTTGAAGGTAACAGCGCTCACTGTTGCCCCTAGTGGCCGATTTCCACATCATCTCCCAATGTCCTCAGACATGGATAGACGTTGAATACTGACTTGTATCACGGGAGACCTGACTGGAAGATTCACCATAGGCTAAATCAGTGTTTGGAAAACTGGCCCATAATGTAATAATGTAAGGAGCAGACAGAGTGATCACCTTCGAACATGGGACATATCTTCCTCCAGGCTGTGACCCCGCCCTCGCTGGTGTACTGGCCCAATGCCGTCTCCAGGAAGAACACAGGGATACCACAGAAGAAGAGGAAAACAAAGTAGGGGATAAAGAAGACACCTGCGGAGGGTTAGAAACACCAATGAGGAAGAGTGTTTCCTGTATGAAAGGTGTGTTGCTATGGTAAATGGTCCAATAGAACAGCAGGAAGGATAAAAAGATAAAGCCACTGAGATGAATGGCAAAACATTTTGTGTGAATAGACCAAGGAAATGCTTATTGACATTTCAGTTGTGTGATGATGCATTATTGCTGTACAGTAGTTAGAACATGTTCTTTAGCTACGAGTCCATGAAAAGAGTTGACAGCTGAATAGATATCCTTCATAAGGAAATTAATTATCTTTCCAGTGAATACAGAGAGCCATTGAGGCTGCACAAAAGCAATTGCAGGCCTGGTGTCCTGGTTTTTTAGGATGCATACATCTTTTGTTGCTCACAGAATATTAGAGGTGAAGCTCCGCCCTCAGGGTTAGCACACAAGAGTTAACTCCCTCGGGCAACATCTTTCTTTCCCCTCTCTTTCTTCTCTCTCTCTCTCTATCGGCTCGTCTCTATCATCTCTTTCATTCTCTCTCTCTCTCTCTCTCTCCTCTCTCTCTCTCTCTCTCTCTCTCTCTCTCTCTCTCTCTCTCTCTCTCGCACTCTCTCTCGCACTCTCAATTCAATTCAATTCAAGGGGTTTTATTGGCATGGGAAACATATGTTTACATTGGCAAAGCAAGTGAAATGGATAAACAAAGGTGAAATAAGCAATAAAAAGTGAACAGTAAATATTACACTCACACAAGTTCCAAAAGAATAAAGACAATGCAAATATCATATTATGTATATATACAGTGTTGTAACGATGTGCAAATAGTTAAAGTAAAAAAGGGAAAATAAATAAACATAAATATGGTTTGTATTTCCAATGGTGTTTGTTCTTCACTGGTTGCCCTTTTCTTGTGGCAACAGGTTACAAATCTTGCTGCTGTGATTGCACACTGTGGTATTTCACCCAATAGATATGGGAATTTATCAAAATTGGATTTGTTTTCGAATTCTTTGTGGGTCTGTGTAATCTGAGGGAAATATGGGTCTCTAATATGGTCATACATTTGGCTCAGTTTCCACCTCATTTTATGGGCAGTGTGCACATAGCCTGTCTTCTCTTGAGAGCCAGGACTGCCTATGGCCAGCTTTCTCAATAGCAAGGCTATGCTCACTGAGTCTGTACATAGTCAAAGCTTTCCTTAATTTTGGGGCAGTCATAGTGGTCAAGTATTCTGCCACTGTGTCCTCTCTGTTTATGGCCAAATAGCATTCTAGTTTGCTATGTTTTTTTGTTAATTCTATCCAATGTGTCAAGTAATTACCTTTTTGTTTTCTCATGATTTGGTTGGGTCTAATTGTGTTGCTGTCCTGGGGCTCTGTGGGGGCCTGTTTGTGTTTGTGAACAGAGCCCCAGGACCAGCTTGCTGAGGGGACTCTTCTCTCTATCCCTCTCTTATCTCTCTCTCTATTTCTTTCTCTCTTCTTTCGCTCTCTCTTCTCTCTCTCTCTCTCTCTCTCTATCTCTACTCTCTCTCTCTCTCTCTCACACACGCTCTCTCGC